TGTGTCTGTCTGTGTGTGTGTGTGCGTGTGTGTGTGTGGGGTGTGGGTGTGTGTTTGTTCCTGGCTTGTGGGATTGTATGATTGTGCGTTTGAATTTGTGTGTGTGTTTGCGTGGTTGTGTTTTTGCGTGATTGTTTGTGCTTTCGTCTCTGTGTATGTGTGTGTGTGTGTTTATGTGTGTGTGTGTGTGTTTGCTTGCATGTTCATGGGCTGGGTAGCAGCGTACTTGTGCATGGATTTGCCTGCATGGTCCCTGCATGTGTGGTTTGTGTCTTTATTTCTTAGTGTTTGTGTGTCTGTGTGTCTGTGTTTGTGTCTGTGTGTGTGTGTGCGTGTGTGTGTGTGTGGGGTGTGGGTGTGTGTTTGTTCCTGGCTTGTGGGATTGTATGATTGTGCGTTTGAATTTGTGTGTGTCTGTGTGTTTGCGTGGTTGTGTTTTTGCGTGATTGTTTGTGTGTGCTTTCGTCTCTGTGTATGTGTGTGTGTGTGTGTTTATGCGTGTGTGTGTGTTTGCTTGCATGTTCATGGGCTGGGTAGCAGCGTACTTGTGCATGGATTTGCCTGCATGGTCTCTGCATGTGTGGTTTGTGTCTTTATTTCTTAGTGTTTGTGTGTCTGCGCGCTTGTGCGTGTTCCCACGGTTCTTCGTGCTTGCGTGTGTGTGTGTGTGTGTGGATGTGTGTGTGTGTATGTGTGTGTATGTGTGTGTGTGTTTGTGCCTTTGTATGTATCTTTGTCACTTTTTATGTTTGCGTAGTTGCACATGTGCTTGTGTGCGTAGTTTGTGAGTTTGGGGGGGTTGTATGTTTGCGTGTGTGAGGGAGAGAGAGAGAGAGAGAGAGAGAGAGAGAGAGAGTGCGTACACTGCACGTTTGAGCGCGTGTGGGTGCAGGGTGGGTGCGTGGGCATGTGTGTGTGTGTGTGTGTGTGCGTGTGTGTCTGCTGCGAGCTTGACTTCCGCCCGCGGTCCTGTCTTCGTCCTTCTTCTTTTTGAACATGGCCTCGGCCGGCGTTGCCACATTGCATAGGTCCAAACAACAAGCAGCAGGGCGGTCCCTTCAAAGCGCCCCAACTCTTGGGAGGATGAGTCTGGCCAGGCATGGAACATTGTCCGCCGCTCGTGTGGACATATGGTGGTTGATCTAAATTCCTTTGTCTCGAAACGGCCATTCTTCGCGAATAAAAAAGTTACTTTCGCGAATCTTTCGCGGATTCATCGCCGTGCTCTTTTCATTTCTCGAGTCAGAGAATCGCAGCTTTTAAGTGCCAGCGTTGTGAGCGAAATGACGATTTCCCAACTCCAGCTGTAAAGTCGCAACTTTTCATCACAGGGGTAGTACATGACATGCGCCGGCTGGAAAGTCGCAGCTTTTCGTCCGCCGTGCAGCTCCAGCTTGAAGTCGCAGCTTTCCAGTACCAAGCTAGTATACTGACTAGGTCGGCGCTCAGACTATACCTCCCCTTGCAATCGAAGCCTGCGCTTTCGCGCGGGCTTTCGCGGATCTTTCGCGGAACTTTCGCGAAAAATCACCCACGTTTCAGAGCGGAAAGCCACCGACTAACACCCACAGACACACATACACAGGCTTGGAGCACTAACCAGCCAAGCAGGGTATCAAACTGCAGCCTCACCAGGCTTTATCAGCGCAACATCAACAAAGTGCTTTAATCAGAATAGAAGGAAGGCTCAGCAGAAAAGATGAACGGTTCCACATATCATTGATTTACCAGATACAGTTACGCAAAACTTTCGCGAGAAAAAAAGTTACTTTCGCAACTCCATCGCGAATCTTTCGCGGAGCTACCTCAACCAACACCGATGGTCACCGAATACTAAACTCCTTACAAGGACCTTTAGAACGACTCCCATATATCAATCAAAGCCAAAAGAGCACCTACCAGGTTCAGTGGTCCCCGAGTTTTCGGAAATCATAGACTGCCTGTGAAGTCTTTTCCGTTGCTCATGTTCGGATCCAACGTAAGCATCGAGTCTTTGTGTGCCATGTTGAGCGAACCTCATCTGGATTTGTCTCCACCTGGCCCCCATTTCAGGCCTTCAAATTTCTTCGGATCCCTCGAAACTATCCCAAACAGGCACCCAGAGACACAGATTCTACTGAACAGCTCATGTGTCAGGGAACTTGATCTTCTAAACTAATGGCTGCACCGTTCTGAATGCCAAACTAATGGTGCTCATCTACTAACCAAATGGCCGCACCCTTCTTCCAACCTCAAAGCGAAGCAAGCGGAGCCCGCTTCGACGACGGTTCCGGGGCCCAAGCCATGGCGCTCTGCCTCTCGAGGGAAAAATCGGGGGATCCCTCCAAATGGCTTCTTTTCAACCCCCCAAAAAAGGAAAACGAGGACGCCAAAAGGGGGAAAAAAGACGGGGAAGGGCGGGAAACTGAAGGAAACCTGAGGACGGGCAACCAGCCATGTGGGATACTCGTTTTGGCACGGTGCCAACACTCATGCGACTGGTTCTAAGCCCCAACCTCCTTTTACTCTGTGGTTTGTGGGACGAAAAAACAGGCTGGCGGTCAAACAAACAGGGTCCCCTGCAATGGATTCCTAAGAACAAAGTGTGTCAGTCCAAAGGATGCAGGGTCCCTTTGCAATGGCCCGTTTGACATTCCCCAGACTCTTGTCCTAAATAATCCTGCCATCAGGCAATGTCAGCCCAAATAAATAACTCCGTTGCTGATTGCCAAGGGCTGTCCGGTTTCAGTGGGGATCCGCATGCAGATCACTTTTAAGGAATGCACCCCCCTCAGCTAGGCTTAGCGCTTTGTTATGCGCGACCAGTGGATGCGTCAAAACTGTGGCCATTGGGCGAAATCCAACAGGCCCACTGAGTCCCCAATGACTCTGTATCCCCTCATCTTCGTGTCCACGTCCACGGTTGTTGGGCATATGGCCTATGGCGCCATGCTCCACCCTGATGATGTATGATTTCTGGGTGGCTTAGGCCTTCATAATCCTGGATAATACCATGTAGTAGAACTCCCTACTGAAAGACGCGCTTCTCTCCGGAGATACGTGTGTCCCTCGTTTGTGGGCGTCTCAGCCTTCCATTTTAATCCCGCTAACAGAACTTTTGGGCGCCGCTGATGTGCTTCATTAGGCAGCTTGCCAAGGCTAAGCCTGCCGATAAGAGCAACTAGATCGTCGGGTCCTGCAATGAACAAACAGAACTAAACAAACAAGTGTATGTTCTTCAAAAGTGGGATTTCGCATTCCTCTGAACATGAGCGCTTTTCGGCGACTTCTTCAAATCAGGCCGTCCAAAGCGCCCCCAGGCTCTCGACCCCACGCCTGAAGCCGCCGCGCAGGCTAATACGCACGGCCCGCTTGCGAAACTCTGGGCCAGGGGCGTCGCGAAGCACATGCTCTGGGTACCATCATAACTACTGAGCCATTTCCCCAACTGCAAAGAACATGTTGAGCCTCTGGTCCAGTTTCAGTGAACCAAAACCTGGAAGGTTAAAGGACATCCCAAGAACAGAATACGTACGTAGCTAATGTGTCAAATCAAGTTTAAACGAATACCGAAAAGCTCCTTGCACACACTCCTCACACAATATGTGCGACTGCCTGTGTTGAGCCCCGCATGGAACATGCCTGGCAATTGATTGACAAGCAGCCACCGCTGTGGCAAGCCAGCGAACCCCGAAAACATATTATGCTTGCCTCGGAGATTAGAGGCTTGCTTGGCACGCATCGCTCAGCCTTTGTTAGTGCATGCAACACGCTTACTCTGCAAAAAGTCCGGTTGAACACAGGGCGGCACTAAGCAGCGCGGCAAGTGAACTAGAATCAACTAGAAGGCAACCTGCAACCAAGCAAGCTCGCGTGCCTGCGCTAAGCGCAGTTTTGTTTCTGTTCTAGCCTCTTGTTCTCAAGCAAATGCACAAATTGCCAAATTCCAAACGGTGGCGGGAACAATCAGCTTCCAAAACCTGTCGTGCGCTCAACCGAGCCCAAACAGGTGAATGCTGTCCCGCTAAATGACTCCCAAACGCACGGTGCCAAGACTCCAGCAAGTTCCAACGCCCAACCAAGCGACGCATTCAGTACCTGTCTACCGGCTGCCAATTTGCAGCATGTACTGCAAAACAGCTGTTAATGCTAGGCAAGTCGGCCCCCAAACGTTCCGAAAAGCTCCTTGCACGTGCTCCTCACACAATATGTGCGACTGCCTGTGTTGAGCCCCGCATGGAACATGCCTGGCAATTGATTGACAAGCAGCCACCGCTGTGGCAAGCCATCGAACCCCCCCGAAAACATATTATCTTGCATCGGAGAATAGAGGCTTGCTTGGCTACGCATCGTTCACCTTTGTTATTGCATGAACACGCTTACTCTGGCAAAAAGTCCGGTTGGAACACTAGGGCGGCACTAAGCAGCGCGGCAAGTGAACTAGAATCATCTAGAAGGCAACCTGCAACCAAGCAAGCTCGCGTGCCTGCGCTAAGCGCAGTTTTGTTTCTGTTCTAGCCTCTTGTTCTCAAGCAACTGCACAAATTGCCAAATGCCAAACGGTGGCGGGAACAATCAGCTTCCAAAACCTGTCGTGCGCTCAACCGAGCCCAAACAGGTGAATTCTGTCCCGCTAAATGACTCCCAAACGCGCGGTGCCAAGACTCCAGCAAGTTCCAACGCCCAACCAAGCGACGCATTCAGTACCTGTCTACCGGCTGCCAATTCGCAGCATGTACTGCAAAACAGCTGTTAATGCTAGGCAAGTCGGCCCCCAAACGTTCCGAAAAGCCCCTTGCACGCGCTCCTCACACATTTTGTGCGACTGCCTGTGTTGAGCCCCGCATGGAACATGCCTGGCAATTGATTGACAAGCAGCCACCGCTGTGGCAAGCCAGCGAACCCCGAAAACATATTATGCTTGCCTCGGAGATTAGAGGCTTGCTTGGCACGCATCGCTCAGCCTTTGTTAGTGCATGCAACACGCTTACTCTGCAAAAAGTCCGGTTGAACACAAGGCGGCACTAAGCAGCGCGGCAAGTGAACTAGAATCAACTAGAAGGCAACCTGCAACCAAGCAAGCTCGCGTGCCTGCGCTAAGCGCAGTTTTGTTTCTGTTCTAGCCTCTTCTTCTCAAGCAACTGCACAAATTGCCAAATTCCAAACGGTGGCGGGAACAATCAGCTTCCAAAACCTGTCGTGCGCTCAACCGAGCCCAAACAGGTGAATGCTGTCCCGCTAAATGACTCCCAAACGCGCGGTGCCAAGACTCCAGCAAGTTCCAACGCCCAACCAAGCGACGCATTCAGTACCTGTCTACCGGCTGCCAATTTGCAGCATGTACTGCAAAACAGCTGTTAATGCTAGGCAAGTCAGCCCCCAAACGTTCCGAAAAGCTCCTTGCACGCGCTCCTCACACAATATGTGCGACTGCCTGTGTTGAGCCCCGCATGGAACATGCCTGGCAATTGATTGACAAGCAGCCACCGCTGTGGCAAGCCAGCGAACCCCGAAAACATATTATGCTTGCCTCGGAGATTAGAGGCTTGCTTGGCACGCATCGCTCAGCCATTGTTGTTGCATTCAACACGCTTACTCTGCAAAAAGTCCGGTTGCACAGGACAGCACTAAGCAGCACGGCAAGTGAACTAGAAGGCAACCTACAACCAAGCAAGCTCGCGTGCCCGCGCCAAGCGCAGTTTGGTTTCTGCTCTAGCCTCTTCTTCTCAAGCAACTGCACACATTGTACAACGCCAAACGGTGGCGGGAACAATCAGCTTCAAAAACCTGTCGTGCGCTCAACCGAGCCGAAACAGGTGAATGCTGTCCCGCTAAATGACTCCCTAACGCGCGGTGCCAAGACTCCAGCAAGTTCCAACGCCCAACCAAGCGACGCATTCAGCACCTGTCTACCGGCTGCCAATTTGCAGCATGTACTGCAAAACAGCTGTTAATGCTAGGCAAGTCGGCCCCCAAACGTTCCGAAAAGCTCCTTGCACGTGCTCCTCACACAATATGT